GCAAAATAATCATTCAGCTTGTCTGCCATTTCCCCCTAGTCATTGACAATATCGCTACTTTCGGCCTTCAATGGGCCAATAGTACTCTTAACCAGCTGCTTCGCCTTTATACAACTATAAAGTCTTTTCTTATTGTCTTTTATGTCCCTTGCAAATTTCCTTTCATAATCCTTTTTAAGTGCTCTTATAAGCCACTTGATGGCCCTTGTTGGTCTTTCTATTTGTCCCATTCTGTGGGATCTGTACTGTTCTTTGCATTTTTATGAGTCTTTTCTTTTAATTTTATGATGTCCCTTACCTCTTTAGATGTCCATGGCTGTTTTTTTTTGTGGGGTCGAGCTTTTCCTTCTCATGGGTACAAACTGCTCCTGAATAGCATTAAATGCTTTTTTGAACACCCTTCACTGTTCCTTGGTTATTTTACCTATTTGCAGGACTTCCCAGTTTACTGTGGATAGTCTCTGCCTCATCCTATTAAAGTCTGCCTTATTTAAGCCAAAAGTCTAATATCCAACCTTTGTTTGTCTCTTACACATGTCTTGTGAAACTTGAATGTGTTATAATCACCATTTGAAAAATTATCACAAACAACTGGGTCTCTAATTAAATCAGGCTCATTACTCATTACTAGATCCAATATTACTTGCTCCCTTGTAGCAACCAAGACATATTGCCGTAGGAAACTATCCCAGATACACTCTTGAAATTTGCAACGTTTCTGGCAGGTGCTTATCTGCTTTTCCCAGTCAATGTTAAGATTAAAACTCCCCCATTAACACTACCCTGCCTATGCTATGTAGTTGCCTAATTTCGATATTTATGCAATCTAGCACTTGTCACAAAGTGGTTTACATAGGAGACCTATTGTGGTTTTAGTTCCTTTACAGTTCCTCAGTTTCACCCTTAAGGTCTCCTCTGGGTGCTTTCCCCTCATTACATTTTTCCTCACTATAGAAGTGATTCTGTTTCCAATCGGTAATGCTACTTCACCCCCCTCTGTCACCTTCTTTGTCCCTCCTGTAAAGTTTATAATCTGGTATGATTAGTTCCCAATCCTGAACCTCCTGCAGCCATGTCTCTGTGATGGCTACTCTATCATTGTTTCCAATTTGAATCTGCGCCAGCAGGTCATTTAAATTGTTCCCTACACTCTGTACATTTGTATAATGAACTCTAATTCTGGCTGTACACTGTATCCTATCTTTTGGCATCTTTTTATAATTTCTCCCTCCTGGCTTGCTTAATGCATTTTTTATACTGTCACCTCGTTCATTAAGCTGGACCTCCTTGTTCATCCAATTAACCTCTACCTTTTCCTTACTCCCTGCCATACTAGTTTAAACCCTCCCAGGTGGCACTAGCAAACCTCCCTGCCAGGATATTGGTGCCCCTCAAGTTTAGGTGCAGCCTATCCTTCTCGTACAGGTCCCACCTGCCCTGGAAGAGATCACAATGATTCAGATATCTGAATTCCTCCCTCCGATACCAGCTCTTTAGCCACATATTTAGCTGTACTATCTTCCTATTTCTGGCCTCACTAGCATGTGGCACTGCTAGTAATCCGAAGATTACAACCCAGAGGTCCTGCTTTTTAACTTCCTGCCTAACTCCCGAAATTCATTTTGTAGGATCTTATCTCTATTCAAATATGGACCACGACCTCTGTCTGTTCACTCTCCCCTTTCAGTATGTCAGGGCCTATTCAGAGACATCCTTGACCCTGGCCCCAGGGAGGCAACACATCATCTTGGAGTCTTGTTTGTAGCCAATGAAATGCCTATCTGTGACCCTGACTCTAGCATCCCCAGCTTCCAACTACTCGCCTGCACTTTGAACCTCCCTGGTGTACAACAGAGCCGTTGTGATTCCACCATTCTTGCTAGTGCTATCACCATCCCCTGATAGTCCATGCACCTCACCCCCACCAAATAATATCTAAAATGGTATATTTGTTAGAGGGGAGAATAGCCATACACATTGCACTGACTGCCTGTTCCTCCTAGCCATCACCCATCCAGTTGCGTCAACATCTTGCCAGGTCCACAAACAAATTTGTGTCTCCCATTGCCCTTTGAAGTTTGTGGTGAATGTTCTCCATGAAATGCTGCAGTGAACTCATTGCTGAATATAGAGTCATAGAGTAATACAGCATTCGGCCCAAACTGGTCCATGCTGACCATGGTGCCCACTCAGCTAGTTCCAACTGCCTGCATTTGGTCCATATCCCTCTAAACCGTTCTCATCCACGTACCTATCCAAATGGCATTGCCATGATTGTATGGTAAGGGAATCGAAGATTTTGTCCCAATGGTCATGATGTAACAGCGGTACATGTCTGAACCAGAATGATTTATAACTTGGAGAAAATATTGGCAACGGTGGTTTTCCCATAAGTTTGTTGCTGTTTCTCCTTCTTGATGACAATGATTCTAATGATGAATTGTTGTCATGCATCCTGTAGAGAATGAATACTCCTGTCATAATGCACTAGTGGTGGAGGGAGTGAGTATTAAGCACATGTCAGGGATGCAGATCTTTTTTATTATTTGTTTGTGGGACATGGGCATCCCTGGCTGCGCCAGCATTTATTGCCCATCCCTAGTTGCCCTTGAGAAAGTGGTGGTGAGTTGCCTTCTTGAATAGCTACAGTGCATATGCTGTAGGTTGACTTACAATGCCAATAGGAAGGGAATACCAGAGTTTTGACCCAGCAACAATGAAGGAAGGGCGATATATTTCCAAGTCAGGTTGCTGAGTAGTTTGGATGGGAATTTGCAGACGGTGGTCTTCTCATGTAGCTGCTGCTCTTTTCCTTCAAGATGTTGGTTTGGAAGGTGCTGCCTAAGGATTTTTTGGTGAGTTTCTGCATTGCATCTTGTAGATAGTATACACTGCTGTTATTGAGCGTCAGTGGTGGAGGGAGTGGATGCTTGTGGATGTGGTGCCAATCAAGCGGGCTGCTTTGTCCTGGATGGTGTCAAGCTTCTACAGTGCTGTTAGAGCTGTACCTATCCAGGGAAGTGGGTAGTATTCCATTACACTTCTGACTTGTGCCTTGTAGATGGTGGACAAGGTCAGGGGAGTTAGGCATTGAGTTACTTGCTGCAGTATTCCTAGCCTCTGATCTGATCTTGTAGCAACTGGTCAATGGTGAACCCCAGGGTGTTTTCAGTGGTGGATTCAGTGATAGTAACATCATTGAATGTCAAGGGCCAGTGGTTAGATTGTATCTTATCGGAAATGGTTGTTGCCTATCATTTGTGTGGTGCAAATGTTACTTGCAAGCATCTAACTGAGTGTATAGCATTCCTTTAAAGATCTGATTTTAACTTTTTGGAGGCTTTAAGGAGTCATGGAGTGAACTGCTTGTCAGAGAGTACCCAGCTTCAGCCATTCCCTCGTAGCCCCAGTGCTGATATAGCTGGTGCAGTCAAACTCCCAATTAATGTGACTGGCAGAAGGTTGGTGAGGAACTCAGTGATGATGTTGTTGAAAATTAGGGACAGGTATCTTGGAGATTTTATTTGTGTTAATTATTCTGTGGCAGAAATAGTATATTCTATCAATCAGCACAAGCCTGTCAAAGCCCCGCACTGGAATGGCAGAGACCACTTCATTACTGGAGATGTTGTAACTGCAAAATATATGGTCCAGAAGTATCAGCCTGACCAACTGTCTCTTGAGTTGATGGCGGAGGTAAAGCTGATAAAGCATGAATGATGATTGAGCCGAAGACTTCCTCCTGAGGAAAACTGGCTTGCATTGTAAACCTCCTACAGTGACCTTTCACATTTTTGACATTCATTGACCTCAATCTTGATGGGGCTCCCCACCAGCAATGCAGTCCTCTACTCTTATGTGAGCTATGTTGGGGAAAGTAACCTAAATTACTCAGGTTTTTCTTTTCACTCCAGGATGCATTTGTAATTGAGACAATTTTTGTTCAAGTTCATTACAAGAACATTTTGGAGGCCACAGGTATATGGTCACGATTTAGTCAGTATAACAATCCCTTTCCCTTACACTTGTTCCAGTTTACTATTGAACTGATAATAATTAATTATGGAATTTTTATTTTCTAACCAACCCGTTCAGAGATGTTCTTACACATCTCTAGAGCAGGTTTGACTTGAACCTGAGAGCAACACTACCATTGAGATCCAAAAACCCTAAGTACAGACTTTATGATTAAGTGCATTCTTTATTGATATAGATGTAGCAGACTTGAGCACGCTATGTTTAATAACAGTCCTTTCTCTGGTCTTCAGGCAGTGAGAAAGCGCTTCTTCTGATCTGATTCCCTACATTGACTTCAGGTGTTTGTGTGGTTGTGGTCACGTGCAGTGAACTAGTTTTTGGCCGAGTCAAGGATAGTGGGGATATGTTTCTGGTAGGTGCAGCAGCTTGCGCCTAAAGAACTATAGACAAAGTTTATTTCCCCTCCTGAGCTTGTCCGATCTGTCTGTGTGTTTATTAGAGAGGTGGTTTTTTCTCGGCAGGGACGAAATGTCTGTGGTTGAACTTTACACCAAGGTATGCTCAAGTTTTACTCGATTTAAAAGTCATTCGCGGAGACGTAACGTTAGAAATTTTGAGCATTTCCAAATTGGATGCCTATTTGGAAGGACTCTTTATAAAAGGAAGAAATTTGATATCTGTTGGAATATTACGACGCTTTATACTTTGCAAGAAATACTATAAAGATGTTTGGATTTGTATATTAGCTCAATTTGGATTTTCACATCACCATGTTAAAAGAGCATCTTTAAAGCTTTTGAGTTTAGAGAAGGGAAATATATCGAAGTTACTGATGGGAGCATCGACCATGTAAAATCGCGAGTTAATGATTCACATCAGCGTTCGATGTGTGTATCAAAAACGTGCATTTGCATAGGGCCTCTTAATGTAGCAATCCCAATTAAGGTCGTGATTTTTTTTTGTGTTAATTGGCAAACAACAAATAGTGGTGATTGGGAGGAAAATAGCTTTTGTAACTTGTAAATAATGAGAAGGACATCGTCGCAAAAAAAAAGGTAATTTACTGAAGAAGAGTCACCTACTGTTATGTCTTAAAACAAACGTATATGAGAGAAAGGAAAGAAAAAATGGGCTTTCCTTAAGACATGTATGATGGTTCATATTCAGATACACTGATAATTGTCTTTAAGTCTGCAACTTTGTGTCCTGAATTGTTTTGATTACTTAGCTGTTTTATATTTTGGAATTTCTGGAGTTTTGTTCCCAACAATTTCCAGAGTGTGACTCTCCTTATAGGTAGATTTCTGATTTTAATTACAAGAATAGGGGGGAGAAAAAGGAATACAACAGTCTTTTACTAAAGGAACCAAGGCAGAGGAGTTCAGTCACCTCGAGTTTCAAGGGAATGAGATGAGACTGGATGGTCACTTTTAATGCCGTGAGTATTTTAGCTAAGACATAAGTAAGGGGCATGGAATTGTGGTGTTGTGATTGGGAATGTGGTTCAGGGAGGTTGCAATGTTAATTAAGCAGGCAAATACTGCAGTAAGAAATTATATCTTTGAAGACTATTCAAGTAAGGTTTTGGATAGATTTTAGGATTAAAAAGAGGGCAGTCACACTGCTAAGGGTGTTTTAGAACCTTAAAGTCAGTGGGCAACAGAGGAGCATATGTAAACAATAGCAGAATTGTATTAGGGGATTTCAACTTCCCCCAGCATTAACTGGGATAGTCAGTCTAAATGGCTTATAAGGAAGAATTCTTGAAATGTATTCAGGGGAGCTTTTATATCAGTCTGTAGAAGATCAAGGGATAGTGAAGTGTTGGACCTAATTATGGGGAATGCACAGCTGTGGCAGTAGGAGAACATTTTAGTGACAGTGACCAAAGTCCTTTATGTATTTGGCCCTTTTATGAAAAAAGGAAGAGTCTGCAAAACATGGTTTTGATTGGGAGAAGGAAGATCTTACTAAAATAAGGCAGAATCTGTCCAAAGTAGACTGAGATCAGCTACTTCTGTGTAAATCTACAGCAGGGCAGTGGGGACAAAATAGAATTGGCAGGAGTACAGGCCCAAAATGTTTCCTTCAGGGTGAAATGTAGGAACAACAAGCACAGAGACTCTTGTCTATCTAGGAACATTCAGGATTAGATAAGAAGAAAGAGTGGCTTTTAACAAGTTAAAAACAGAGCAAATCATCAGAGGTATCATACAGTATAGAAAGTGTTGGCAGAACCTAAAGCTATTAGGAGAGCAAAGGGGGGGCATGGAAAACATACTTGTGGGTAAGTTTAGGAAGAAACGCAAAGTATTTGACAAGGATAAGGGGAAGATGATAACCTGTGAAAGAGTAGTGCTATTAATGACCAGGGAGGCAATCGGTTTACAGAGCTGGAAGACATTGGTCAAGCAATAAATGAGTACTTCACACTTTCCATCACATTGGAGAAAAAGGATGTAGGTATAGAATTTAAGAAGCAGGACAGAAGGTTCTTGAGCAATTTTGACATGGTTAACAAGATGTATTGGATGGTGAGTTGGACTTAAAAGTGGACCAGTCTCCATGGGTCTGGATGAGTTGTATCTCAGGCTGCCATGGGAGATGAGCAAAGAAACACCTGGGCTCTGACTAAATTCTTTGGTACCACCTCTGTGGCCAGAGATGAATTAGAGGACTGGATAACAGCCAATGTAGTTCAACTTTTCAAGAAGGGTGGTAGTGAGAAACCAGAGAATTAAAGACTAGTGAGTCTTGCATCAATCTCATCAACTGTTAGAGAAAATTCTGAAGGAGAGCATTAATATCCACTTGTATAGGTAGGGTTTGACCAGGGATAGTCAGAATGGCTTTGTCAGGGAGAGGTCATGCCTAGCAAATTTGATTTGTTTTGTTTTTGAGGTGGTGAGCTGCTGTGTAGATGATAAGGGTCAAAGCAGTTGTAGTTTGTGGATTACAGCAACACTTTTGTCAAGGTCCTATATGGGATATTGAAAAAGCAAATGGGGTCCAAGGTAATTTGGCAAGTTGGATCCAAAATTGCCTGAGTGATAGAGAGATTGGACACCAGCCTCAAGTCACAATGAGATACCACAGAATTGGTGCTGGGACCCTTTCTTTTGTGATATATAAAATGTGGGTGCCTTGATAAACAAGTTTACAGGTGGTTGACAGTGAGGAAACAGGGCTTGGGTTACAGGAGCATATGGATGGATTGGGCAGATCAGTGGCTGATGGTATTTAACTTTATGAAGTGGTGCTCTTTGGAAGAAGTAACAAGATAAGGGAGTACTCGATGAATTACAGGCCACTAAGAAGTTCAGAGGGATATTGGGACGATTTTCCACAGATCCCTGAAAGTGGCAGGACATGTTAATAAGGCAGTTGAGCCATACAAGATACTTGCCTTTATCAGTTGTGATAGATCATAAGAACAGGGAGGTTATGGTGGAGTCTACAAAACTTTAGTTAGGCCACAGCTGAATTACTGTCTGCAGTTCTGGTCCATATGCTGTAGAAAGGATGCAGTTGCACTGGAGGCAGTTCACAGGAGATTCACCAGGATGTTACCTGGGATGGAGCAGTATAATTATGAAGAGAGACTGGATAAGCTCTGAGATAGTAGGAACTGCAGATGCTGGAGAATCTGGGATAACAAGGTGTAGAGCTGGATGAACACAGCAGGCCGAGCAGGAAGGCTGACGTTTCGGGCCTAGACCCTTCTTCAGAAAGGGTCTAGGCCCGAAATGTCAGCCTTCCTGCTCCTCTGATGCTGGATAAGCTCTGATTGTTTTAAGAACAGAGAAGGCTGAGAGGGGACCTGATTGAGGGGCATGGACAAAGTCAAAAAGCAGCTGTTCCTGTCAGTTGAAGGGTATACCTTTCACCTTAAAAAGGTAAGAGGTTTAGAGGGGATTTGAGGAAAAGGCTTTTTTCACCCAGAGGGCAGTGGAAGTCTGGAATGCATCGCCAGAGATGATAGTTTGAGGCAGGAAACCTCAATCTTTTTAAAAGTACTTGGATGAGCACTTTAAATTTCATAACATTTAAAACAATGGGTCAAGAGCTGAAAAGTGAGACAGACTTAGAATGTTTTGATGCAGATTTGATAGGCCAAATGGATGCTTCTGTACTGCGATTCTATAAAAGTGGCTGCCCATCAATAAATGAAATGGTGTCTTTTTTTGTCAGCGGCAGATCAACTGTAAATTGACTAGTCAACTTTTTTATACACTTGCATGGACTTCTGAACGAGCAACAAATTTTGTGAAACTGTTATATTTTTAAATGTGTACTTTTTGACTCAAAATATATTCATATTGATACTTTCTGAAATCAGAGTACACTTAGTGTAGACTGTGGAGTTACTCAGTGCCTGTTGTGGGAAAGTATTGGGAACACTGGAAACTGTGGTTTAAAGTTATTTTGATTCTGGGGTTTGAGGGTAAGGGTCCTGGTTGGGTTTGGTGTTCTGCTTGTCAAATGGATCAACAGGAATGGCTCCATCCAGAATATCTAGATTTTGTTTTTCTATGCCTATACAGACCAAGTACCACACACTTTGGCTTGAGAGGAGTCATATGTGTTTCAGCCATGCGTTGGTGCAGAGAAATGCATTCTCCTGCCCTCATTGATGTTGTGATAGCTGCTTGAGGCCTTTTTTTTTATTTATCAGCTTGGCTTGCCCAGGATGTCAGCTAGGTTATCCATGATTTGAGAGAGAGAGTATGTTCTCTATTTTTGGACTACTATTCAGAGAAAATGAACTTGTGTTACCAGAATATACGGATACTGGTGTCTTTCTGTCTGTATTTGTTGTATCGTATGTCTTTGTAAGAAATAGGAGCGGGAGCCGGGCCATTTGGCCCCTCAAACCTACCTGCCTGCCTTACTACAAGATCTTGGCTTATTTGCCCCAGGCCTCTACTCTACTCGGCTCCTTCATAGCCCTCAATTTCCTGACATTTCAAACATTTATCTTTCATTAATACTTTCCATGATCTTGCCTTCCCCGCCACTCCCGGCTCTGGGGCAAAAAATTCCAGATATTCACTACTCTCTGGGAGAAGAAATTCTTTTATACCTCCGTTTTAAAAATGTCCCCTTAATCAGTAACTGTCCTGTTGTTTGAGGTTTCCCCTACTAGTTGTTTTTTAGTTCCACAGTTACATTCTCCAAGGCTCCCATTTTAGCTCTTTTTTCTTCCCCCTTTGTATACTTGTAGAAGCTCTTGCTGTTTATTTCTTCTCTATTTTGTACCAATGTGCACTCAATCAACTTTCTTAGTTTTGTTTTAAAAGTAATCAGCTGGTTCCTTTGTAAACCAAAAAGCCCCAATCCCCTGACTTACCACTATCTTTCACTGCTTTGTATTCCATTGTTTTTGGCTATCCTCTTTGATTGTCTTTGCCTTTGTTAATTATAGTGGTTCGTCATCTCTTCACAGCCTTTTTATGACCAGATTAAGTTTTGCTGAGTTATGAAATATCTGGTTAAATGCCTGTCGTTGTGCATCTGCTGACCTTCCCATTAATCTATTTTCTCAGCATACTTCAAACAACCTTTTTGCATTTTTTTTAAATTGTCCTTTATTTAAGTCGACGTCACTGGTTTGAGTCTTGAGTTGCTGTGCTTAAAACTGAATTTGAAATTCTATGGTGTTATGATCACTATCCCGAGATGGTCTTAACTACGAGATATGTTATTAATCCTATCACGTCACTACGTCTAAAATAGTCAGTTCCGATGTAATGTACTGCTCTAGAAACAATTCCTGACCTGCTACAAATGTGTCTTCTGTCAACCTTGCTCACCTGATTTGTCCAGTCTATATGCAGATAAAAATGACAAACCTAATGCCTTCTTACAAACCTCCATTTCCTGATGTGTACTTTGCCTGCCAGTGCGACAACTTTTTTTTCTGGGGGGAGGTGGGGAGACCGCGATAGATGACTCTCACCTGTGACTTCCTTCTCTTACTGTTCTTTATTTCCCGCCAAACTAATTCCACATCCCAATTTATCACGTCTATATCACAACTCCCCGTTGCACTGAT